TTAGTTGTTAGGTAAATTTATATAATTACAATAGTAGTTTCAAAAATCTTAATAAAGCACTAGCGTAACTGCTTATATAATAATAAAAAAAAAAAAAAAAAAAATAGAATTGAAAATCAAAAAGTTAAATCTGGGATTTACAGACAGATCTCAGATATGACAGCTAGTAAGTAACCCTTAGGTAAAATCCTTAATTAGATAATGACTAAAGTTATATATATAACTAGTTGTACTTTTATTGATAAACTTTGTATATAATTAAATAATGATATATTACCCAATAAAGACAAATAGGCAAGATTGCTATTTTTTTTTTAAAAAAAGTATAAGAACTTAGAATTAGTAAAAAAAAAAATACTTTTTATATATCTTTTAAATTAGTAGAAGTAATAAAAATTTGAGTAATATTATATTATACTGTATTTAGAGTAATAAAAATATGAAAAATATTAAATAATAATATGCTTAGAGTAATAAGAATTGTACAAAAGCAATTAAAAATATTGTTTATAGTACTTGATATTCATATTTAAAATACTTGAGCTTTGTGTTAAAATACTTAAATTCATATAAAGACACTTAAGATTTGTATAGAATACTTGAAGTTTATACAAAAATACTAAAAGTTTATGTTAAAAATATTTGAAATTCTTATATTATAATATTTAATACAATGGGGTGTGGTGATCTAGTGAAGTGGATAGGTTGTCAACCTTCAAGTCGCAGGTCTAAAGTTCAAATCCCAGTGATGGCAAAATTTGCAATTCTTTCTGTGTTATGGCTAACTGTCTTCTGTGATTAGTTGGAATAAGATACCTGTAACCCATATTGTACTAGCATGACTAGAAGGTCTAGGCACTTATCAACAACAACATTGTTGTTGAAAAGGTATATTACGCTTTGTGCATAACGCTATGCAAGAATTTATAACCTGCATAGTGGGTTATAATTTAATCATTATATGAATTTTAATTCTTGCATTTAAATTATGAAATTACAAACTCAACAATCAACAACAATGTTGTTGTTGAATTTACTGTTTACATCTTATGTAAGTGGGATGTAAATGGTAAATTAATTTTATTTAATCTGTCTAACTGACTTTTAATTCTTGCATAAGCGTCATGCACAAAGCGTAATATACAAATTTTTTAGTTTTAGTTTTTAGTTTAGTTTTTAGTTAGTTTTATTTTAGTTTCATATTTAGTATTGTATTTAATATGTATATAAAGAATGTGATATAGCACATGATTTGATAATCTGCATTCGTAATTTGTAATCTGTATTTGTAATTATTAATAATTATTATAATAATTAATAATTAATAATAATTAATAATCATTATTAATAATTAATAATCATTATTAATAATTAATAATTATTATTAATAATGATTATTAATTATTATTAATTATTAATTAATAATAATTATTATTAATTAATAATTATTAATAATTATTAATTATTATTAATAATTAAATAATTATTAATTATTGTTAATAATTAATAATTTTTAATAATTAATAATTATTAATAATTAATAATTATCAATAATAATAATTATTATTAATGATTATGTAATAATGATTATGTAATAATTAATAAGCATTATTATTAATTAATAATTAATAATAATTATTATTAATTATTAATAATTATTATTTAATAATTATTAATATTAATTAATAATTATTAATAATTAATAATCATTATTAATAATTAATAATTATTAATAATTAATAATAATTATTATTATTAATTATTAATAATAATTATTAATAATAATTATGTAATAATTATTAATAATTATTATTAATTAATAATTATTATTAATTAATAATTATTATTAATAATAATAATAATATAATCTATATTACAGACTTAATTATAAATAAATAAAAAATTTTATAAATATAAAAAATTCTTTTTTTAAAAACTTTATTAAATAATTTTTTAAAAATTTTATTGATATTTTAAAATGCCTCCTAAAAATACAAAACCTGTTTTTCAACATATTCTTGATGCTAATCCTGCTTCTGAAAATCCTGAAAATAAACCACTATGTGAAAAAACAAATCGATTAGTATGTATTCGATATGCTATTAATAAATATTATGAATTAAATCCATATTTAATTCAAGAAGAATCTCAAGCAAGTTCTTCTACTGAATCACAAACCCAATCAAGCAAACTTAGAGTACAAAAATATTGAGCTTCATGAACTTCTGTACAAAAAATTGAAATAAATAAAAAACAAAAAAAAAGAATGCAAACAATTCGACAACAACAAATTGAACAATTTTATAAAATTAATCAATGTGAACTTGAAAATTATAATGAAAATAAGATTAAAGGTGTTAATATTGAAGCTGAACATCAAACAATTAAAACAATGAATATAATTTGTAATTATTATCATGCATTAAAATGGAAAAATGAACCAAATTCATTTTGTTGTATGAATAGTCAAGCTAAAATTGCATTACTTGCACCTGCTTCAAATATGCTTTATAATTTACTAATAACAAATAATCCTAATACTAATAAATTATTTGTAGAACAAATTCAAGCATATAATTCAGTATTTGCATTTACTTCTTTAGAAGTAAATCTTAATGAAACATTAGCAAATGCACAGGAAGGTGTTTATACATTTAGAATATAAGGAGCTTTATATCATAAAATTAGTTCCTTAATACTTAAAGAAATTGAAGAAAGATATGATCCAAATTTTGCACAAATTTATTTTTATGATTCAAGTTTGGATAATCAAGTAACAAGATGAATGGAGTTAATACCAACATTAAATGAAAATATGATTCAAGCAATTTAAAATGAATTATATGAAATCAATTCATTTATTAATGTATTTTATCAAACAGGATTTGAAGCAGGTAATTATCCTGATTTAACATTAACGATTCATAGTACACATGAAAAAGATATGAGACAATACAATCAACCAACAGTACCAGAAATTGCAACAATTATTCTAGAAAATTATGAAAATACTGTAATTCAAAAAAGAGATATTTTACTTAAAACATATATAAGAAAGTTACAAAAAATCTCTGAACTACATGGTGCTTATGATCCATTGCAATATCCTTTATTATTTCCTTATAGTGAATATGGATGGCATGATAATATTTTGAGAGCTAATGAAATTATAACTATATTAGATAATGAACAATCTGATAATGAATTTGAAGAATTTGATAATGAAGAATTTGATCCTAATCAAATTTCAATTTATCGAGCAACAAGTATTGCTGAAAGTACTGGTGCAACAGAAGCATTTGAAAATTTATTAGTTAGATCTGCCTCAAGTATAAGTACAGGATCTAATATTAAGAGAAAAAAAACAAAAACTGAAGTTAGTAAGGAAATAGTTGCAATTAAAAAAAAAAGAACAAAAGTTGAATATAATGAAGAAATATTTGAAATTGATAATGAAAGTGAAAATAAAATTATATCAGGAGATAAAGATTTAGATCAAATTCAAGTACACCAATCAAAACAAAAAACAAAACGAGTTACAATTCGAGAATTTGTTGTTTATAGAATTCAAGTTTGAAATTATAACAAAACACAAAGCATTTTACATCTTTCTGGCTATTTATTTTAACAATATTTAGTAGATCAGTATGTCAAATAGGAATCAAATACTTTATGATGGTATAGAAAAAATCAATTACAATTTAGATCTGAAATTTATTTAGGTCTACAGGACATTGTTGATTCTGATGATACTACTATAGAAAATATTGGCAAAAAAGTTATTTTAGCATCATTTTTTACTAGATCTCAATGATATATGCAACAACTATATCAAGATTCTATAGCAATTGTTAAAGAATATGGCAAACCTGATTTATTTGTTACTGTAACTTGCAATCCCAAATAGTCAGAAATAATTAATGAATTATTAAGCAGATCTGAAAATAAAAAACAACAAACTTCTGATAGACCTGATATAGTTGCTAGAGTTTTTAAACAAAAACTTCAAGCAATTACACAAGATTTATTTATAAATAGTGTACTTGGAAGAGTTATTGCACATGTTCATACAATTGAATTTTAAAAAAGAGGATTGCCATATGCACATATTCTTATGATATTAGCATCTGAAAATAAGCCAAAAACACCTGAAGATTTTGATAAAATAGTTTGTGCAGAAATTACTAATAAAAATTTCCAACCTCTGCTTTATGAAACAGTAAGCAAAAATATAGTTCATGGCCCCTGTGGAAACTTGAATCCAAATTCACAATGTATGAAAAATGGTAAATGTAATAAACATTATCATAAAGAGTTTACTACAACAACATTAATTAATAAATTTGGATATCCAATTTACTAAAGAAGAAATAATGAAAGAACAATTAAAAAAGGACAATATATTATTGATAATAGATGGATTGTTCCTTACAATTCATATCTTTGTCAAAAATATAATTGTCATATTAATGTAGAAATATGCTCAAGTATTCGATTAGTAAAATATCTCTACAAATATATTTATAAAGGATCTGATTGAGCTATTATTAAAATTGGAAATCCTAAAAATAAAATCGAACAATATATAAATGCAAGATATGTTTCTGCTATTGAAGCATGTTGGAAATTATTCAATTTTGGCTTGCAAGAAAGATCACATAAAGTTGAAAGATTATCAGTTCATTTAGAAGATCAGCAATCTATTATTGTTAACCAAAATGAACAAATATCTACTATGTTGGCAAAATTTTTTAATACAAAATTAACAAGATATTTTGATATGTACAATGCAAATCAAGATGATCCTGATATAATGAATTTATGATATATAGATTTTCCAAAATTTTTTGTTTGGAATAATGGATTCTGGAAATAAAGAAAATGAGGTAGTGAAAAAATTATTTCTAGAATGTATATGTGTAGTCCACATGAAAAAGAAAGATTCTTTTTGCGAATATTATTAGTTCAAGTCAAAGATGCTATTAATTTTAAAGCAATTCGAACTGTAAATAGAATACTTTATAATACATATAAAGATGCAGCTCACCAACTTGGATTATTGGATGAAGAAAATAATGAATTTGATAAATGCATTAAGGAAACTGCATCTTTTAAAATGTCATCAAAATTACGACAATTATTTGCTTCAATCTTACTATTTTGTGATCCACAGGAATTGGATCCAAAAAAATTATTT